CAGATCTTTTAGGAGTGAAATGCAGTGAGGAAAACTCACTGCAGCCCAGAGGATAAGCGTATCCACATGAGAAGGACAGGGCCCACGGTCACTGTAAGAGTGAGCACAGGAGAGGCTGTGAGAGGCAGGTGTGGGGCTGTGATTCTTTTGACCTCCTGATATGTCATCACTTTTTTTCTTTTGGTGAGGTGACCATGATCGCCTTGGTATAAACAAATCCCTCAAGCTCATTTCTACAGCAGCTGTAACACACAGCCTGTGGAGGCTGCCTGCATTCTTTGGCCAGTGACCTCTTCCTCCCGCTTCAAAGCCAACAGATCTTCACACTCCTCTCCCACCTCCTCTGTCAGTCTCTCCCCCTCTGCTGTTTTCATGTTCCCCACTCTCGGATCCTCCTGCTCCATCTTATAAGGAGTCGTCTGTATGTGCTGGGCCCACCCAAATAATTCAGGATAATCTTCCACGTCAGAATTCATCACATCGTCCCTTTTGCTAGGGTAACATTCGCAAGTCTGGGTATTAAGACATGATCATCACTGAGGATCTTCACTCTGTCTCTTATGCCCTCTTCTGTGTCATCATCTACTGGATCTACAAGCGTCCCCAGTTAAAGATAACTCAGGCCATACGTCCTCAGCACCCTCCCCTCATCCCTTCCACTCCAGATAAGGTCATCACGACAGCCCTCGGTGGAACACTTCCTCCCTGCGGGTGGCTGGGGGGCATCAGAAATGGGGGGGGGGATGAACTGGAACCAGAAGGCTGTTGTCACTTCCAGCCAACAGCTGAGACCTTTCCAGGTGTGGTGTGAATCGGGGAAGATGGTGAATTCAAAGACTATTTTAGGCAAAAATCATACCACTGGTGTTGGATTGGGGGAAAGGAATCAATAACACTGCCCAGAAGCACCAGCTTTGCTAGCTGTGTCTGGGGCAGTATGACCAACTGGGGGCAGTTCTTTTTAGTTTGAGACTTGTCAAAGTTGAGGAGACTTGTTGAAGCTGAGGACACCTTGGTGAAGACACATCTGGGGGCAGAGGGGAGGCCTGGCTGCAGAGATGTAGCAGCCGTGAGTATGGGCAGTCACCCCCGGGAATGTGAAAAAGGTGGCTACAAGGTGTGGAGAGGAGTCCATGGGCCAAGGGTGGACCCTGGGCCACGAGCCTGAACAGAGAAACCAGGGAAAAAACCTCTGAAAACTGACGGTAGAAAGGAAGGTGTGACTGTGAGTACGCAGTGGGTTGAGGGATCCACAAGCCCGTGAGTAGTTAGTTGTGTCCGCACACCCATTTCATGCCTGCTGTCAGCCTCTCCACAGCCTCTCCGATACCAGAAGAGGAAACTGTCCTTTGGAGGATGGAGTCCCATAGAGTAGCCCACAGGGTCAAGTCCAGCAGCACAAGGGACCCGTAAAATGAGGCTGGGGACAGTTGCTGGCTTGCCCTGTGCGCAGGGTGGGGGGATGAGGATGGAGCCCCGAGTGGAGGGGAGCAGACGTGCGAAAGGAAGGCATGTCAGCCAGGGCTGCTGGCACGCCTCGAGCCTCCTGGGGCCTCTGGCTACCCCACAACGTCTAGGGCCCCTCAGGTTCTGATTTGGCACCTGCGAATTTGAACTTCTGCAAATCACCCAAGAACCCAGCAACAAGCTGAGGAGCACGGTGAGCAGAGGCTTCCCAGGACACCTCAGGTGCAGGAGGAGCTTGGGGTTGGACGGGACCTGGAAATTTGACATCTTGTAGACCTTGCTTTTGAATGGGGACAGCCAGATGCCACTTTGACCCTCTCTGTGCACGTGGCCTGCAGCTTCACCCAGGCGACCGGCAGTTACCATGGCGGGAGTGGCTGTACTGGGTATTGTCCCACCAAGGTGGGGGCACAGGGTGCTCGCTCATTCAGGTGAAGTCTAGAAAGGATGAGGTGTGTCCCAGCAGGTAGGGACACGACCGAGGGATGCTCGACTCCTGCCGGCGGCCAAGGGAGGCAGAGGGCAGCCGCGGCAGGGGCCTTGCTGGCCATAGGGCCACCAGGGAGGCCGCAAGGACTGCAACAGTGAGGCTCAGTGGCTGCCAGGGCCAAGGAGGGGGTTCAGAGGAGGGCCCCGCCCTGAGCTAGGCTTTGAGCCCAGCAGGAATGGGGTGGAGATCTGCACAGGCTGGGGGACACGGCGGACAAGCAGGAAGGCCTCGAACTGCCCGTTGGTTTCTTCCCCCTCCTTTGGAAATATCTGAGATGCAATTAGCTCAGTCAGTCTGAAGAAACTGGTCTGAGAGAGATTCATTGGCTAAATGGCTTGAGGGAGGGTCTGTGAATTTCCACCTTTATGAATGTTTGAGCATTTTCTGGGATTTGACACAGGATCTGTGGCTTTCATCAGTTTTTTCAGAGAGCGTTAGGACCCACAGAGGTGAAGACCCTGCTCCCCAGCTTCCTCCCGGACGCGCCGCCTGCCGCACGTGACAGTCTCCTGGGATGGCCCCTGCAGGGCCGGTGGGCAGTGGGGGCAGGCAGGGCTGCCGCCGGGAGCTCAGATCTCCAACATCCTGGGCTCTGCAGCCTCCAGCCCAGCCACAGTCCCTGGATTACATCACTCCTCCATCTTCTCTTACAGTTTCACACTCTTCTTTGATTACTGCTCATTATTTTGTGCGATTATTGTGGGCACCGGTCTCACCATTGCTCAAGTTTCTGTTTCACGTTGTCTGTGCCTCTCCCCAGGCCTGGGGTTTACTCTCAGAGGAGGCAGCTTGCTTAGTATTAATTTATTCAGCTGGAGTCTGCTCTGTCAGACCTTTGTCTGTGTTCTCCGCCTAGCTTTGACTTCTTTTGTCTTTCTAGGTCTCTGGCTTATCTTTCCTTGAGCCATGGATACGCGATGCTTTTTTGTCTAACTTTGTACCTCAGTGTGCTCTGAGTACTGCAAAGTGAAATGTGCACTTAACCTATTCTGATACATTTTATTTATGCTAAAAGCACTACTTTTTATGGATCTCCATTTGAAAATGCAACTAAATGCACCTCAAAATCCCAGTGTCTGGAGGGGTTAAGAGGCCACCCATCAGCATTCCTGGGGACATGCTTAGAATACTGATTTTAATACTGATTTTACAGGGTTCTCTAAAGTTAGTACGTGGGGCATAGACTCAATGGAAACTGGTTGTCTTTTTTCAGCTGATGTTAAGCTGTAGATTATGGGCGTTTTCATACCTGTTCGAAGGTAGGAAGACAGCCTGGTGACCTGCCTGCCCAGACACTCTTCCCCTGGGACACACCTCTGACATCCGTGTTTCACGCACGTCCCCTTGCGCTCCCGACGCTCCAGGGGCCTTGGTCCTAGATTGTGCCATCTGTGGCCCCCGGGAAACATAACTGGGCAGCTCAGTCAGCCTCGGCGTCTGGGAGGTCCAGTCTACATGGCATTTGCATTTTTGGTTTACTAATCTCTTTACCCCACTAAAAAGAATTCCACAAGGGTGGTGACTCTGATACCTGTGAGTTGAAGTCACCGGTGCCGCGTGTTTCTGTGATTTGTTTCTAACCAACAAAGACCCCACCAGCACAGTCTATTTATAGCACAGATAAGCTCTCCCCGGAGCCCCAGATCTCAGTGAGACGCAAGCAGGACACCTCGAAGGGAAGTCAGCCCCGCTGCCCTGCGCTGTGACTACCTGCCACTCCCGCCGAGGGCCCGAAGGGTGTTCCAGGGCGGGCTTCTCGGCTCCCGTCCTCTGGCACTCGGCCTTCACGCCGCCTCTGCAGCCTCTGCTCCAGGACAGCCGAGTGGAGGTAGAGGCGAAAATGCTGAAATGCAGGAAGAAGATGAGGCAGGATTCCCATAAACTGATAGCACTGTGAAGCCACACCATGGGACACGGAGAGCTGGCAGCCAGGCCGCCGGAGCAAATTGCAAGGCCGCCTTTGAGAGGCCCGCCTGACTTGTACTCGGACCATTCCGTTTGGTCCCTTCCCTGGACCTGTGACGTTCTACACTAGTTAAGCTCTCAGATGAGGCTGCAAGTAACACATGCACAATAATTCATCTCTTCCGCTGTCTTAGCTGCAGAAAAAGAGAGAAAAAACTTCTATTCTGCAAGAAGGGAGTGAAAACAGTATTCTTGTTCAGACCCCCGCCCCATCCGTGTGTCCCAGAGAGCGGCTCACACCAGTGCTGGGGGCTACCCAGCCGCACCCCGTGTGTGCCAGCCATTCACAGCACACGGGCCGCTGTCTTGGCGGGAGGGGTGGCAGGCAGCGGGACCACAGAGGCACCGGCAGGTTACTGCAACGGCTGTCATGAGCTGTCCTCAGTCACCGTCACGCTGGCCTCAGGCAGCACCGGGGTGCGTCTCCACACACGCTGTCCGGCGGGCCCGGACACAGAGCAGTGAACGGTGGCGCCTAGGAGCCCTGTCTCCGGGTCTGGACAAACAGCCCCCCGTCGCCGCCATCAACGAGCATGTCACCTGCCTGCGGTGTGAACCCAGCGGTATGGGGAGCAGCGGAAAGCGTGTCCAGCGTCTGGCATTGGTTGTATTCTGTTGGCGGCCAGGGTGGTTGCGAGTGTTTTGCAGTTTTCTAGTGAAGACGTAAGCAGCAGCTCCTGTGTTTGGCTCTTTGAGGGTATTCTTCACATTTTAAGTGGTTAAGGAAGTCACTCCTTGTGCAACAGCTGAGAAAGGCTGACGAATACAACCACCTGCATTCAGAAACAAGTCGTTCATTCTGGGGCCTCAGAAAGGAAATGAAATCGAACGGGATGGGCCCTTAGGTTCCTTTGTATTCTGCTTTTCTTTGATGTGTCCCGTGTTCTTGCATTTTCAGAGCCACCATGTTCATTGGTAACCTTGTCGGGAGGCAGGGTGGCCATAGCACCTGTCTCTGGGTTCCCGTCCATGCCCTCTGCAGACCCTGGGCCACCCTGGCGCCCTGGCACGTGGTTCAGGTTGATGGCTTTGGGGTGACCGAGTCTCGTCATGTCTCTAACTTCTCTTTGTTTCCTAGATTCTCCATGTGACTACAGGCAAGAGAAGCGAGGCCGCGGGGCATCTCCATCGTTGTTTGAGGCATAGGGGGTTTTCTGGAAAGTGCTCCCCCGGACAGGCAGTTGTGCTGTGACCCTGGAAGGAGGAGCTGGAACCCCACAGCCCCATCACTGCCTCATCTCAGACCTGCTGGAATGTGTTTTCACAGGTGCTGTTTTCTGTTTGACATTTTCATATAGAGTAGGGGAAAGTATAGCTACTGACAAGTAAAGAAATACTGTTTTTTTTTTTTTTAGGCAGATTTTTTTTTTTCTTTAATGGAGTTAGTCCTTGGCTTTTCGCCCAGTCCCAACCCCCCTTCTTGTGGCTAATGTCCCTGGGTAAATACAAAAAGAGATTGCTTTGTGTATTCTAGAGGGCTCTGTTTTGAAGAGAGAGAATTAGGTTACTAGTGTTTTTGTTGTAAATAAATAAAAACTTCCTTGTCCTTGCAAGATCCAGTATAAACTGTGTGAACTCACATCACTCACAGAGTCAGTGGGCGCGGGGTGGGACAGCCCTTGGGAAGACCAGTGGGACCAGCCAGGGTGAGAACTGGGCTTGTTCTCCAGGCAGAGCAAGTTTTTTTAAATTTAATAATAAAATGCCTATGCGTTTGGGTAGGGGTTCCCTTGAAATCTGCCCCCTCCTGTGGGGAGTCGCTGGAGACGTCCAGCCTGGCGCCGCCGTGTGCCCTCCCTGCGAGCAGCCCGCGGCCCCGCACCTCCTTTCAGTTCCGCCCCTGCAGTGTGGGGGGGCACGAGAACCCGCTTATCCTGGGACACCCACGCCGCCCGGCCTCTGGCCCCTCGGCGGCCCTGCTCACCCTCACCTCCTTCCAGGCTGCGTCTCTGCTGTCTCCGCCCCTGCCCACACTCGCTGTTGACCACTCTGCAGCCTCATCCAGAAGGTGCTTCCCTGTCTTATAGACTTGACTTTCATCCTGCTCTGAGGCTTCCTCCTTCCTGAGTCTGCCCTGATGCCAAACTTCCCCACTTTGGGATTTCCTCCTACCCCTTGGTTCCACGCCCCGTGCCCTTCAGAACGCACTTTGAATTAGACCTGAAACTGTCTAGGCAGCCAGTGACCAAGGGCTAGATAAAGGAGCCAGGCAGAGAGGGGTCCTTCCCAAAGGGCTGGGTGTGCTCCCTGGCCTGGGGGCGCCTGGTCTGTGCTCCCGCCTTGTGTCGCCTCCATTCCTGGCAGGATCATCCTAGCAGAACCCGAGTCCTCGTGGAGCAGAATGGGCCCCTCTGCCCAGGGAAGGGACACAGGGCCGTGCTGCGAGACCCGGGTACCGGGGCCCCTGTCCCAGAGACTGGGGCCCTCCTGGGGCTTTCTTCTGCCAGGTTGCTGGAGTGACAGTCTCAGAAGACTGGCTTTCTCTAAAGGCCATAAGGCCTTGCCAGTGGCTCCAAGATCTGCACCTCCAGGCCCTGAGGCTGCCGCGTGGGTTTTCCTGGCGTCTGGTGTGGCTTGACTGCTCACCTGGTTTTGCTCGGAGCAAACCACCTCCTGCCCCACAGCCCCCTTGCAGCTTCCCTGCCCTCCCGCTCAGGGGCCCACTAGGGCCTCCACAGACTGCTGCCTCTTCCTCTGTGGCCTCCTTTGGGGCACTTGGCATCCTCACTCCTTGGCCTCTGCGTCTCCTGTCTCCAGCCTCCATCCCCACAACACGAACACAGGTGCACACGCACCCACACAGCCCTCTGCGCATCCCGTGAAGCCGGCGTTCCAGGCTTATCGCCAGAAGAGTTGCTGGCACAACTTCTTGGAAGAGCCATGTGCCGGCGCCTCGCTCAGGTGAAGCCTTTTTGGAAGGCTACTTGAAGCGTTAAAAGTGAGAGCAGACACACCCTCCAGGCCCTCCAGCCCACTTGCAGAACTCTGTCAAACCCTTTGCACCTGTGGGCGTTGCTGATGCCATGGTAAGACTAGAGACAACTGGAAGTCCTTCAGAGGGAAGCGTTGCGATAAGTCCCAGTAGGGCTATTCTGGGGCTAGTTTGTGCCTTTTAAGATTAAAATAGAACGTGGAGAGTCGTCCATGCGTCTGAACGCATTCCTGTGTATAAATAGGCAGCGGGCTAGAATGCTCCACGCGGCGGTGCCGCCCGGCCAGGACAGCGCGGGGACAAAGGGCTGCAGGCTGTGCAGAGGGCGCATGTGTCTGAAGGGGTCGCGTCCACATTTCTCATGTAATCAAAAACAAGCGAGAAAGAAGTGGCGGTAGTGTGGACTGTGGAGGACAAGGGGCGTCGCGGGGGGTGGGGGGGTGGGAGGGGTTGCTGGGCCTGCGCCCCTCTGCAGGCGTCCTGCTCCGGCTGACCCTGGGAGGGGCGTGTGAGGGAGGCGCCACGGCTCCTGGCTCGCCACACGCGTGTCTGCATGGGGAGGCCGGGACCCCTGAAGAACAAGGGAACCAGCTTGCCTATCAGTGATCTCCAAAGAACCTCTGAAGGGCCCCGGCGGGGCGGGCAGCACACCGCAGCTAAGGTTGCCTCAGGCGGCTCGGCTCTGTAAGCCACCCACGCTTCACCCTAGCTGGGTGGGTCCAGACCCCTTTGACGCTGGGTGCAAAGGACGAAGTGAAATCGGTTCATTTCTGCCACGTCGTCGCCACAGATCTGCCTCCTCTCTCATCTACTGCTCTTTACCCCACCCCCACCCATGGGCAACTGCTTTAAGGGGCTTTGCCTTTGATGCTTTCTTGCAAAACACACACGTGGGTGCTGTGAAGCCAGGCTGCCAGGATCTCCTGGACAGTGGTGCCGGGCAGTGACGGCTGCCACCCCAGGACTGCCAGGAGGACCCTGGCACCTGCACTTACCAGGGAAGGAAGGAGCCGCGGAGATGTCTGTCGGGACCCGCCCAGATCACGGGCTGCTGGAGGGCAGGACAGGCAGGGTCTTCAGGTGGGAGCAGCATCGCAAGCAGAGATTCCTAGAAGGGGGGAAGGGGAGCAGGGTAACATTAGCAGCTGAATTGGGCTGAGAGATCCCGATCATCTTTTTTCTAAGAACAATTTGGGGTGGTTTTGACCTTCAGCTGAGATATAACATTATTCTTAAAATCAACCGATTAAAGTTAAAAAAGGTACATAAATTCATAAAATATAAGATTAGTATTGCTACATTTACTACAATGATGATTAGTTAAAATAAAGACTCTTAGACCCTATTCCTATTTTATGACCTTTGTTCTCATCGAGACATTCTGGAGGGAAAAGTAAAGTCGAGGGCTAGGGTGGAGTAATTTTCTTGTAAATCAATCATTAAAAGAGATACAGTAAAGCTCCTCATTTAAAGACTAAGAATAGAAAGTTTAAGTAGTTCCTTAAAAACAATAGAAAACTTAAGTAAGATAGTAGAGTGATGAGATTGGGGTTCTTGTCCCGGCAGTAAAAGAACTCTGGTTTAATTTTTCTTTTTAAAGATTTATTTCTTTATTCATACAGAACTGGGGTACAGGCCAGAGGCTCAGGGGCGGCAAGAGGCTTCACCAGAGACAGAGTGGGGAGCAGAACAGGCAGATCTAGGGAGCAGCGGGCGGGTCAGGAGAGGTCTGCCCTGCCATGTGGTCACCTCCGGGGCAGGTGGGAATCGAACTCATGCGGAAGCGGCTTTAGATTCTCAGTGCTGTGCTCCAACCCGCTGCGCCACCAGGAAGGGCCAAACTCTGGTTTAATTTTTAACATGTTCTAGTGCTGCCTCATACTACAATATAGATTTTGCTATAACAGCCAATTGCTTTTATTAATCAGCCAATTGTAATATTATTTGACTTCAAGAGAAATTTCTCGCCCTGGAGCAGCGCTTGCTTGCCTGGGCCAGGCAGCGCCTTATGAGGCTAAGGCAATCCAGTTGTAAACTGAAGGTTGCTCAGAATATTTTGATATTATGATTACACAGAAAAGGGAGGTCATAACATAAGTTAGCATGAAAATGTTGATTTTTCAGAGCATTTTCCTTCCATCCGGAATTTATCGGTTGACAGAAGTTGCATAGCTTGTGTCAGATGTCAAGTAACCCAAAGCCCCGATGTCACTGCCTTCCCTGCCTCACCTGTGGGGCAGAACTGGCCTGGCCAGGGCCTCGGCACCCACGGTCGTGGGGCTCAGCCCTCCCCTGGGAGCCCCACTCTCCCTCTCCGGCTGTCACCCTGCAGCGTGGGCCTTCCCTTTGAGGGGAGACCGTTCCGGGTCACACGTGTCGCTGAGCTGGGACCAGGTTCTCCCCAGCGGGCTCTTTCCACCTGTCGGCAGGGATCTCCCCACTCTGCTGCTATTTTCTCAGAGGATTTGAGCTCCTTTCCTCTCCACCAAGGCCAGAAGAAGCCCTAGCTGCCTTTTGCCAAGAAAACTGGGCAATAGGTGGCGACATAACCCACTTTTTGCTGTCCTGGCAGGCCAGGTGGGCATCTGTGTCTTCCTGTACAGGCAGAAGTGACCCGCTGAGGCTGGCGCTCAGCCTCGCTCCCTACCCAGCCACACACGTGGCCATTCAGTGAGGACTGGCCTGCGATGGCCATCAGGATCCTCAAGGGAAGGCAACGGTGTCCTCCATCCCAGGTGCCAGGCAGAGGCTGGTGGCTGGTGACTGGGAGGCTGGTGGCTGGTGACTGGGAGACTGGTGGCTGGTGGCTGGTGGCTGGTGGCTGGGTGGCTGGAGCAGCGGAAGAAGGGCGGGTCCAGTGCCCAGGAGCAGAGGCCTGGCGAGACCCTGCCTGCACACTCGAGAAATGTGGCCAGCACGTAGATGGAGGGATCAGATCCCGCAGGCCGGGCGAGTCGAGGAGGAAGTGGACCCTCCTGCCACTATGAGGAGCCCAGAGGCCCTTTCCCCAGGGAGAAACCGGACCTGCAGGGCTAGCTACAGACTGCGCCTCCCATTGGCCTGCTCTCAGCTGACCTGGCAGTGCTAGTTCATCTTCACCTCCCTGACAGCAAGCTCACTCAGTCACGATCACATGAGGCCGACCAATCAGACTTCATC